TTGCTGAGCCAGGTCCACTCACTGGCTGCACAGAAAACTGTCTTTTCTACAGATTAATTTTCTGCTGAGCTTGAGGCATCACTGGTCTCATGAAGTGCCTGGTGATTACCAGAGCTGGAGTTAGGTGAAAATGGTGTTGGGTTATGACCATGGAAGTGGAAGAGGAAAGAAGTATCCATGGAAGGGGCATGACCAGATAATTCTGAACACTTGGATTGCATCACCTCTTTGAGAACTGGCAGCCCAAGATGAATGTGTGTTGTGCTGTGCCTTTCCCACTTTAAACCTGAAATTATATAAAGAGCTTCAAAGTCAGAAGTTACACCTGGCTTCTTTCTGTCCTAGTTTCATGATATTTGTACTTATTTTTTTATGTTAATAGCTGACCATTAAGTAAAATGCAGGGTAATGCTGTTTCAAATCCTGTAAATTTCTCTTATATGTAGAGTTTTACAGGTTTTTGATAGGATTTTCATTCTTTGTCATCACTCTAATTGCCAAAATAGACATTACATTGCTTCCACATTTCAATTTAAGAACTCCATATTTAAGGCAATTTTTTCCAGTTTAGGTACTTAAATTTGGTCTGACATCCATTTTCTATAATCCAGTATGTCTTATTTTCAATGACATAATATCTATGATTTTTGAAACATGTATTTGGGGTTTTCTGCATTGAATTAATCCAATTTGATTTTGGTGCCTAAGAGCTTTGGAAAATGTTGACTGTATGGTGTGCAAATATTGCTAGACCAAGATTAATAGATATGGACATGTGTTTATCCAAGAAAGCAACATCAGGTGTTTTTAAAATTTGTGAAAGTGGATAGATCACATGAAAAGAGAAAATGAAGATGACATGGGAAGAAATATTGTAGTAACTAATCACAAATCTTCTGATATTTGAAGTACCTGTTACAACACAATAACAGTAAAAATGAAAATATGGAGATCAACTTTGACACAATGGCTAGAAGAAAGCTGTGAGAAAAATAAAGAGGTTCTTGATACTCTAGATGAACAAGGACAGTACAAGCAATATCAGTGACTCCAGTGTGAGGAGATATAAAGGCAAGCTTTTGGGCTTCTGAACCTGAGTTGCTCAGACAGAGCAGATGCTTTTAGTGCCTCACTTGGCTTCTGCTCAGGAATGGCAGTGTCTGTGGTGTGGATGCACAAAACCAATACTAAGTGAATGTTGCTGACATGTTTTCATTCTTTTATTGTAATTGACTTCCTTTACTCTTCTGTTTAAATAAATATTATTCAGACCAGAGCAGCAATACTTCAAATTCCACTTTTACTTTGAAAGCAGCAGGATTAAGTTACCTGGCAAGAATTCAGTGTTCAGAGTCTTGACACTGAAAATTTTTTATTTTACAGGATTGGACAGGCTTCTTTTTCATCTCTAGCAATTGAAACAATTAAGCACATTCCTTGCATTAACATAAAAAAACACTTACTAGAGAGAGTCTTTAAGCAACTCTTAGTGTCTTTCATGGTATCCCTTAGTTTTGTAGTTAGGAAGTTATGATCCACTTTATAAAGAAACAATTTTTAAAGAAATTTTAATAACTTCTTATAAATTATGTTTCTTTTCCAATTAATGTGTGCTCTACCTTGCAGTGTCATTGTCAAACACAAACATAAAATGCATTTTTCATTTGGTAGTGAACAGAATGTTACGTGAGATGCTGCAACACAGCAATGAGTTCAATGCCAATGTATTTTGAAGGTGAGACATAGTGTATCAGCTGTGACTGTGAGAGTACTTCCCTCCAGATAAGAAGAGCTTTTGGAGAGGAAAAGATGATGAGAAATGGAGCATTTAGTTCAGGCCTCACTGTGCTGGGTGTAACTGTCTAGCAAATAACTGATCTTGCCCCCTTGCTGCTAATAGTTAGGATAGAGATGCTGCCAGTGGATGAGACAAACAGAAGCAAGAGTAGAGTCAGAATGAGAGAGATGGAAAATATCAGATAGCTGCAATATTCAGCAAAGTTCACTTAGCAGAAGATTATAATAGTGCATTTTGTACTGGAATATGTGAGTATATAAATAGGGATTATATGTATTTTGTAATTATGGGGTGTGATTATGTTCCTTCAAGGACATATTAGGCATTAGGTAATTATACAGGAACGATGCCAAATCTGACATTAAAATTAGTGCTTTGAGATTTATACCTTTTTTTTTTGTTGTTTAAGAAAGGCCTTAAACAGTAAGGCCTTCAGGTATGTGCAGTGTTTCCTGACTTGTTAGGCAGTAAGATGTTACTGTGCCCTTTCTTGATTTTGCTCATTTTAAAAGCTTAACCCTTTAAAATATTCTGTTCAGCTCAATACTGTAGCAACCTATGACACTTAAATAAAACAATGATTACATTCTCAGATTGTCAACAGATCACACAAAAATGCTTTCTTCCATCCTCGCTTCTGACCATCTGTTTAAAGAGTCACAGGAAACCAGTCTGTAATCTGCGGTTAAGAGTTTAAAATCACATGCATTTTTTGTGACACATACATGTAGAGTACTGTAATAATTTGTATTAGCTCTAAAGGCTGGGTGACTTGACCTTGACATCTGTCAGATATACCCATTCTCTCTCTCTCTCTCTTTTTTCTCTCTCTCTCTCTCTCTCTCACACACACACACACACACACACATGCACACACAAAGCATAAAAAAGAGGGAAGGGTCATTTTTTTTTTTTTTTGGAGCTCACATATGTGTATATGCTTTTACTTCCCTTAAAACTGCCTTCCCCTAAAACTACTTTCCCTTGTTGTACTTTATAATTTAATTGCTGTTTTTTAAAACCATCCACACACATTTTAGGGTTATTTTCTTGTATGCTAAAGTTTTACATATGCTGTATATGAATATTCTTTTCTTTTTGAATAATTTTGGTCTGAGACATATAGTATTTTCACATTGATTCCTCAATGCCTTCAGCAGATAGTCTTCAAAAGAATGATGCTTTAACTGGTAGCTTCTACATGGAGATTGAACAGATCTCATTCAAAAATTTCTCATGAAATCCTGAAGCATGCAGCAATGAGGAGGGAACATTGCACAAAACTAGGCTGCAATACCTATACACAGAAATGTGAGGAGCATGTATTAGTTTCTGCGACAGATGAATGTTGTCTCTGCAGCATTGTTCTCCATAGCATTGTCACCAGGGTAACTTAAACCAACCTAAAACTGAATGCCTCAAATAATGGAATATCCATTCTCATCCTAAGAAAATTCTTCCATGCTAAAATGAGTGTGAACCACTTGATTTTTTCTGATGACTGTATCTGGCTTATTTTGTAAGACAGCATAAATACCTGCAAAGCTGCACAAAGCCCATTAAAATTATTTGTGGCTTCAGTAGATAGACCTGTACATTCTGTTCAGTGTAGCCTTTTAGTGTTTGGGGAACATTGTTTTCTACTCATTTTATAAAGACAAAGGAACATATTCCAGGCTTAAGATAGCATCCTGACCCTTGAAAATGTTCACTTAAAATATCAATTTTTAACTGTTCCTTTAGTCACTTCTCTTTCAAGGATATTGGTTTTTTTTCTCTGATTTAGCTGTTTGTGTAAATTTTGTGGATGGACTGCAGTGACACAGAAATCTTTAGGTAGTTTTTGGTTTTTGATATACTATAATAGATAAAATAAATACATTGTCTTATGACAAGTCTAAGAAATTTCAAGAAGCAAGTGCATTAAAAGAAAGAAGTGATTTAGCAGTGCTGTGATTTATGTATCACCAGTGGGAGGTGGCATGTTTAATATTGTCTAGAAGCATAAGGCTCTTATTGTCAGTGGTAGTATTTGAAGTATCTTTTTCCTTTCTAAATATGCAATCCATAGCTATAGCAACAAATAAATATAGCAGTCACATTTACAACACAGTTATTATGTTTTGCACTTGCTATAAAAGGTGTATTCTAAAATAATTCTCAGAAGATAGATTATAGCAGGTTTACATTAGGGTTGGCTTTGTAATGGATCCTCAGAGTGAGAATGTGCAGCATTTGCTCTTTATTAAAATGAACCACTAAGTTTTCTAGACATAGTGTTAATGTTATGAATTGCATTAGGAATTAGATTTTCAAACTATGCACACGATTGTTTTTCAAAATACTCCATTCTTTTTTTATATCAATTATCTCAGGAATTTCATGGTTAACTACAGTTTGCCACAGTTATAAAGCAGGAACTCCTATTTATTGGTCAAGTACTATTTTTATGTTTGAACAAAGCACCTATTGTTTTGCTTTGCTTATCAACAAGCGCTACTGTTTTCAGCTAAGGTTACATTTAATAATTAGGTTTTCTAGGGGCAAGAAGTCAACTATATCTTTAATGAGTTCAGTGACATCACTAGGGCTGCTTATGCTCCTTGGCAATAGTCTGCTTTGTGTGAGCAGATCACATTAGCTTTAAGAGAGTAGCGCAGATGCCAAGGTCAGGGCATTGGTAAGTAAGAGATCTTTGAGTAAAATAAAGAGCTAAAACTATCCAAGGCAAGGGAACAATGAACTGCTGTGTAGCAATATGGTAGCAGCTCTCTTAAGAAGTTATTTTGTTCCATGTTTAAGTATTTTCTATGCATCCTTTGCCTGTGACAGTTGGGTGAGGAGCAAGGAAGATCCCAAAGGTCTGGGCTAGGAGTGCTGAAAGGAAAAAATTTTGCTGATGCCATGACAGTACTGCCTTTTCTGCTTTTTTTCATGTTTGAGCCCTCTAAGTGTGATGGCAACTTCAATCTATGATGCAATCACCATAATCAACTAGAAAATTGTAAAAGGAGTATTTGGGGTAGAACTGCTTTTTTAATAGGTGGTTGAGAAGGCTTACTTTTTATAGTTGATCTGTAGTTTGGCATTGATAAATGGAAGTCTAGTGCAAAAAGGCTGTTGATTTATCTCTGCTCAAAAGGTGACATTTGGAAATTCTCACCCATTTGTACTTCAGAATATTCCTTCAAATTGTGTGTAGAGGAAGAAGTGGAACTGCTTTTTGCCTTAATTCAGAGAGGAGACCAGAAGAGGACAGAATTAGTACAAAGGAAATGGAAAGGAAGGCAGTGAAACAAGAACTTGAAGAGAGTGAGAGCCAGTAATGGATGCTATAACAGGTAGAAAAGGTGGGAGAAAATGCTGAAGAAAAAGAGTCTGAACTGGAAATAGCCTTCAACCAGAAGCAGAGTGTTCACAGGGAGAAGTGGCGGAATACTACAAAGACATTTGTATGAGATTTAAAAATTGCACATCCCATCAGGCTGAATAACGTTCATCCATGTGTTGCGTACTGTTGAAAATGTTAATTTTTTTCCATGGCACTTGCCAGCTTGCTCTCATAGATTCAAAATGCAGCCTCTACTGGTTGTGTTATAACTAGCTGAGGAATAAACGTGCCCAATTACTGAAATATGTCAGACAAAAAAGATGCCATACATAGAATGAGGGGAATGGGAAGATTGCTTCTCCCTCAAGGGGATTGGCAGCAGTAACAGTAAAAGTTAACTACATGCACGCATTCCAAGTGATCTGAAAACTTAAAACGTCATATCACATTTTTTATGTGATGGCTTTGTCTCATTGCCAGGGCAAGGTACCATTACTGCTGGGATGTAGAGCTATGAAAGCACTTGAACCCACATCGAGACCTACCAGCTTGGAAGCACCTTAGTGACTAATGCCTAAAAAACGAGATGCCTGAACTAGGGAGGATGCTTCATGTTTAATTTAAGATTGCTCGGGTGCCCTGAGCTCCGCTTCTGTGCGTGACCAAACCCGAGCTAATCCAAGTAGCTTGACATTTCTCTGCCTACTCCCATCTGTGTGCGCGGAGCACAGCGAGCGAGCACTGACTCAGCTGGAGGCCTCGCACAATGTGTTGCGGTGGCTGCTGGAACAAAGGGGAGCCAAACTCCTCATCTGACACCAGGGTGGGTACGGCAGCATTTAGCAAATGAAAGACAGGAATTTGCTTCTCACCTTTTTGTGCTGCATTTCTTGCTTTGTCACAACTGTGCTACTGTAGAGCAAAAAATTCCCTGGGACAGAGGTGGAGACTATGATTTTTTTCCGGAAGATTATGGGATCTTGCTGAGGATCCCCACCTGTTTGTGCCCTTGCCTTTCTTTATTCTGTCTGGTGACTTTTTTAATGCATATTGTACAAACAGATCTCCAAATTGTTTAAACTGAATCTTTTATTACATAAGTCCCAATTCTATAAAGCAACAACTTTATAGATGGCAGAACTGAAATGATTTCTCCTGTCATGTAATGTCATACTCAGTTTTTCAGATGCTACTGCCTTGTATATTTAGAGAAACAGCCGGTTTCCAGGGAATGGGTTGGAGGCCTGAGGAAGAAATTGTTTTCCTCTAAGCAGGTTTATGGAAGCTAGCTTGCTGTGATTGATTGTGAGAGTCTAGGTGTCTGAACACCAAAACAAAGGCAGGAAGAAAAAGGTGGGGGGAAAGGAAGAAAAACTGAGATCTGAGAAAACAAGTTGCTCAATAAATATAAGCCAGAAGAGCTCCTTCATTCTGTGCGCAGCTTCCTCAGGTTTCCATGAGAAAATCTTACCACAACTCTTTCCAGTAGGAAATGGCAATACAGATTTCAATCTGTAGGGAAAAGTGAGAGTGCCAGATCAAAAATGATCTTCTGAGTCAGAACTTTGTTAGACCCAGTCACTGTCTTCAGCCACTGCTCCCAGGTTGGTCCCCTCTGCCCATCACAGCACCTCGTGCCTTCCCATGCCAAGTTTACCATCCGTGCTTTCCTCTCCTGCTGACATGACACTTTTCTTCTGTATGAAACATTAAATGCAAGTGGTACCTTACATCCTAAACAAAATAAAGCAAACATCTTTGAGATCCTACTCATGAGGAAATCTCCCTTGCTTAGCATTATTGTCCCAGATATGCTCTCTCAGGTAGTCATTAATCTCAGGTAGTCATTTCAGTCATTCTCCAGTAGCTCTTAGGATACTTTCCAGAAGTTTGCTATACGTGAAGGATTTCCTTCTCAGCATCATTTCCTGAACAGCCAGAGCTCTCAGTGCCCTGTCACTGACCTTGTTCCTTAGAAAAGCAATGTACACATAACATACCATGGAATTAGGCAGGAGCATTTCTGTGCTTTTGGCTCTTAGTATAGTATACTGAGTACTCGGTTTAGACCTGTAACAATCAGCTTACACGACACCTTGTTGATGCAGGTGCATTTAAATAGTGTGTCAATGGGATGAATGAGGAGCCTGGTCCAGCAGATATTTAATACTGATGTTTAGTGAGAGCTCTGTGCTTCTCTGTAACTTCATACCTCCATAATGAATGTGTTATCAGACATTGATATGTTATCAGATGTTAAATAGTGTAGTGTTAGCACTATAGGCTTTCTTCAAGGCCTGATCGTAGCTCAGGCTGGTGTTTTAACTTCAGGGCAGGAATTTCGCTGCTGGACAAACAAACCTCTTACTGCTGTGGCATATGCACTGTAAGTGTGTGCCAACCTAGCAGACCATAAATGTGCAGCAGCTATGAAAGCCAGTGAAAACTGAAATGCAGCACTTTGCTTGGTTTATTCTGTTTTTGAGTATCAGGAGCTCAGATCTTGAAAACTTGGTGATGGATCATCCTATACTCTGCTGCTGAAAAGCAGCATTAAGAAAGTTGTTGTTTGCCAACTTTTCAGAAGTGTGCTGTCAAATAAACCCATATCTTATCTAAGATAGGCCTTGCATTAAAAACCTCACTGAAATGTAAATTAGTATTTGACTTCCTTCTAGACAGAGTTCATTCCTAAAGATATGTCTTTTTCCTCAGAAGTATTCACTATAGGTTTTTATTAGACCCCTTGATCACAGCTTACTATATGTCTTCCCTTTATGTTTCCAACCATCCATATACTGTGGGCTGTCTGGTGAATGATCTGGTGCTGGGTTTGATGAATAATCTCAGCAAACCTGTGAATGTACAGGTATGAGCTGGGAGAAGTTAAAATTTGACCAGACTAGCTGTGTGTCATGATACTTTATGCCTGCATATACTGCACCAACCAAAGTTATGCAATGGAGAAGAATATCAAAGATATTTTGAAGGTTGCAAATGGGTTTTATGAGTGAGAATCATCCTTTTTGTTGCTTCCGAAGATGAAAGCACTCAATTTTCGCACACAAGAAAAAAAAGACTGTCAGATGTTTTAAATGTAAAAACTGCATAATGTGGCTTCTTGTCATATCTGTGGTTCCCTTGTGGATGAAAATTTTAATCAGATGGTTTTGTACTTTAAAGGTTTTTCATTTGATTTACAACTTGTAGGAGTGGAGTAGCAGTAAGCAATCAGGGAGAATGCCATGAAGAGGACAAAAGGAAGGTGAAACACTGCGTTAATAATTTAGTTTCAATAACCTTAAAAGGTTTACCAGTCACTTTTAACCTTGTATCAGAAAAGAGAAAAAGCACAAAACCCAAGCTACTGCAGCGAATCATAAAAATGTTTCTTTTAATTTGTTACTCATTTATCTAAGTCTGGATAGAAAACAACCCATACGTTTGTTAAACAAAAGGGTCAGAAAGACAACTACCCATCAATCTGACATAGGTCTTTTGGAAGGACTGCCCGCAGTTTCACCAGGGTCAGTGAAGTCACAAAGTAATGGTGATTGTGGCTGTGAAAATATAGAAGTCTTATAAGTATTTCAGAATAGCCAACCCAACATTTTAAACAGAGTCTTCAGAAGTGCTTAAGCGGGTTAGGCACCTAAAAGTTATTGAACTCAGAGGGAATTAGTTACCATTTCAAAGCCTCACATACTTTAAAAAAACTGGTAAGCACTTACGTTCAGGTTTCTTGCCTGCTGAGGGCAAGGGTCTGAATCTGTATCTGGTCTCCTATAAACCAGGGTAACACAAAAAGTGACAACTTCATGTTGGTGGTGTGGGAGTTTTTAAAAAAGAGTCGAGTTTTGTTTTTTGTTAGGAAGGATCAGGACATCATAAAAATTCATGTGGCGTTTGTATACATAGCTTCTCAGATGAACAGTTGTGCTTCCATCTTTTGAACATGTACATTTCAAATTTTGCCGCAAATGTGCTACATGTATTTCAGTTTTTGGCACAATACTTTAAAACCATCTTTGCAACTCTCTGTCTTCATGGTATTAGGCACTTTGTACAACACTGTTGAAACTGAAAGTGTTCCTAAGTAAAAGAATTAAATGATTGACATTCAAGGTAGAGAACCCAAACTTTGGGACCTCCTGTGATCTAGTTTAATAAAAATGGTCCAACACTTCAATGTTCAAATGCCTAGGCTATATCATGGATAATGGAGTATTTTTTGTATACATGTACCAAATATGGCATCATAGTAATAATAATACTTTGGCAATTATAAGGTTCTCCATAATTTTTATACAACGAGCCTTAAGTATCCGCTTATGGATCTTCTGTGCAACTCTCCTTTATACAGCCTTGAAAACCTTTTATCACTCAGAACTGCAAGATGTGCTCTCCTTTTTTTAACTATATTTGTTATCATTTGACAGCAAGATTCTGTGCATGTTTTTGTTTGGCAATTTTATGCTAGAGTTGGAAAGATTTTGGGCTTCCTGTATACTTTTTTTGTTGCAGATCAGAAGGAGTAATCATTTGTTTGCATTGCAGAAGTGATCAATGTCTTCACTTGTAGGTATAAAACAAATGCATGTGGAAACAGAGTCCCTCCTCCAGACAGATTGCATCTTCATTTATATTGAGAATCATCATGTAAATGTGGAAAATAGTGATGTTTACATAATTTTCACTGTTGCCCAACCTGATGATTTGAAAGAATCAGATTACTTTTTAAAAATATATGAGCTAGTAAAATGGATTATTTCCATCTTGTGTCATTGTTGATTGGCTAATTACTATTTACAACTGTACCAGCATTGTTTTTCTGAGAAGTTGAATGAAAAGTGAGTGATAAAATCTCAGTTTAATCTAGAGAAAGAGCATTAGAACAAAGTTTAAATTACAAATATTGAGAAGTCCTCAAATGAAGATCTCTATGAGTGGGTCACTCGGCTTAGAAATATGTTCATGTTCTTAACTGCTCTTGGGTATGACGGTCTCTCT